CCTGGAAGGATCAGGTGGACATTTCTGAGACTTGGAACATATTTTCAAATTGCCCTCCAAAAAAATAAAACGGACACATTTCCATTAACAGCATCTGTTTTCTTGCTTGCTAACCAAAACTGAGTGTTATAGATTGCATTATGATTTCTTTGCAATTTTCATAATAGAAAATGGAACTTCTTTTTACATACATTACTTAACGTATCTATTCTCTTAATGTATGTGTATTATTGTTGTTCTTAGATCTGTTAGGTTTTGTTTTTTGTTTGTTTGTTTGTTTGTTTGTTTTGACAGAGAGAGAGATCACAAGTAGATAGAGAGGCAGGCAGAGAGAGAGGGAGAAGCAGGCTTCCCGCTGAGCAGAGAGACCAATGCGGGGCTGGATCCTAGGACCCCAAGACCATGACTGGAGCCAAAGGCAGAGGCTTAACCCACTGAACCACCCAGGCGCCCCTGTTAAGTTTTTTAATATATAAAGGACACTAATTCTTTGGTTATCAAAACACAATGCAGTCTTCCAGTTTATCATTTACCTTTTCCTTATAATATTTTTGAACCTAATAATTTTCACTACTATATATTCCAATTTACCAGTATTTCACTTTATGGTATCTTCTATGGCATAGATGGTCTTTAAAAAAAAAAATTGTGTGTTTGTATTGTTTTTCCCATTTAATCCATTTGTAATTATTTTTTGTCCTCCCAATGGAAAGATGAATTAAGTCTTAAAGCCTATCACTCTCATTGAGCAATTAATTACCAGCTCTAAACTTTTTGCTTGGACTAATTCAATCATTCCTACAACAATCCTATTAAGCAACTTCAGTTATCCCCATTTTTACATGTGCCAGAGCTAAATTTGCTTAAGGTTATTGAGCAATTAGGTGGTGGAGCCTGACTTGAGTCTGGGCTCTTGATCCCAAAGCCATCCTGGCCTTGAGCTTACTGTGCACCAGAGGGTGACAAGGTGAGTGGATTCAGAGTCATTCCATATCTGGGCATGAATGACAATCACGTACGTGCCTCAGCTTTCAATCAGATCTCGTCTCTCTAAGTCCTGATGATGCTTCAGCTCACCAGCTGTGGGCTCTTGGACATATCCTCTCCTTTAATAAGATGGGAATATAAATTGCAGCCTATTTCTTAAGGCTTTAAGAAAAGACTGTTTTCAGCTGAACAGCCACCACCCGGCAGAGAGCTCCTGACAGACTCTAATCATGTCACGATATAGAAGTTCTATTCACCGCAGAACAAAGAGACACAAAGGTTGAACTTTCTTTGCCAGTTGTGTAATACAAACCAAGGCCTTCATGAGCACTCAGTGAGAATGGAAAATGGAAACTCATCCAGGCAGAAACAGACATTCTTCCGGGGCTTTTCAGTGCCTAGCAAGCCCAAATCCGATCTAAGGAGAACAATGTTCAGGATAAGAAATCAGGCAAGGGTAAGTAATATGAGTGGACACCTTTAGCCAAGTTTTTCCTATCATGAAATTATGTTACCTGTGTAAATACAAATAAAATTTTTTATAAAATCTGCCGAGGGGTTTCCCATAGAAGCAATCCTAGCTCCGGATGAGGTTTTTGGCACCATATAAATGATCTCTGTTGCCCGATTTTATGTCCATGCTTCTATAGGGGAGGTGGCTCCCAAATGTAGCTCTTACATACTTTTTTTTTTTAAGATTTTATTTATTTATTTGTCAAAGAGAGAGACATCACAAGCAGGGGGAGCAGCAGGCAGAGAGAGGGGGGGGAAGCAGGCTCCCCGCTGAGCAGAGAGTCTGACTCGGGTCTTGATCCCAGAACCCTAAGATCATGACCTGAGCTGAAGGCAGAGGCTTAAACCTCTGAGTCACCCAGGCGCCCCCTCTTACATACTTTTGATCCGTTATGTCTGTTGGGGGGCTCCGCCTTACTGCCGAGTCTCCAAACTGGGTGCATTTCCTCACTTCCCCTCTATCACCTGCTGTGGGCCAGGTCCCATGGGCAACTCAGGGCCCACAGCCACCTGCCCTTGTGGGCTTGGGTCAGTCGGAGGGACGTGTATATAACCCAAGTGATGGGAGTGCCTTAGGTAACCAGGGCTTCTCCTAAAAGTGTTAACATCTGCAGCTGTCACATACCTGGAACCTTCTCCTGGACCAGACCACTGGCTTATTTCCCTCCTCTCCCCTTCCCCGACACCCCTCTGCAGAGTATGGCCTATTATGATTTGTTTTTACACCCAGAATCCAAGATTCAAATCACTTTTATATATGAAGCATTTCTGTTGTCAATCCAGGGAAAATGTGAACCCCACTTCTGGCAATGCTTGAAGAAAATGCACTTAATAATCCCAGGACATTCTTTCATTCCACCTTAAAAGTTTGTTGGACTCTGTAGAAAGCCTGAGTAGTACTCCCCCACCAAGAAGTCTACAGCCTAATCCCCAGAACCCGTGAATAGCTTATCCCACAAAGTAAAAGAGATTTCACAGCTGTGATTAGTTAAGGGGCCCTGAGATGAGCCAGGGATTATCCCAGACCACATGGGCGTGCCCAGTGTCCTCACGTGGGTCCTCACTACAAAGAAGCAGGAGGGGGAGAGAGAGAGAAGGTGTGACAACAGACTTCAGTGACAAAGCCGTAAGCCAAGGTGTGTGGGTGGCCTCTAGAAGCTGAAAAACGGCAAGGGACAGATTCGCCCCTAGAGCCTGCAGAAAGAACTTTGGTTCTACCGACACCTTGATTGAAGCTTTAGAAAACCCATTTCTCCAGAATCACGGGACGTGTGCGATTTTAAGCCACTAAATTTGGTTATTTGTCCCAGAAGCAATGAGAAACCAAGGGGTGCTGGGTGGCTCAGTTGATTAAGCATCTGCCTTCGGCTCAGGTTATGATCCCGGGGTCCTGGGATCGAGCCCTGCATCAGGCTCTCTGCTCTGTGGGGAGTCTGCTTCTCCCTTTTCCTGCCCCCGGCTTGTGTTCTCTCTCTCTCGCATAAATAAATACAATAAAATAAAAAGAAACCAATACAGACACCAGCAGAGAACAGTGACAGGCGACAGGCTCCTCCCCACCAACCCGCCCATGAGTGTTTCAGGCTAAATGGCTCTAACAAGACAGCCTGGGATAGGATTTCGGCTTGGTTTACCGGGTCCTCGATGCTCAGAGAGTAACTTTATCCTTCTGTGACTCAGTTGCCTTGTCCATAAGCTAAAGGATTATAAAGAATATGGTCCTTAGAATAGCACCTAGTACAGGCTGACCCCCCAATGAATGTCAGCTGTGCCTGTTGTTACCGCTTTAATCACAGAACTTAAGATCAAATCAGATTTCCTGTTTCAGACCCAAATGGCCCAAAGGCCTGAGCTGGCTAGTTGGTGTCTGTTCCTGACTGTGCCATCTCGACCCAGGACCAGGTTCAGGGATGTCATGTGGATCGCCTGAAATTGGCCATGAGGGGAATATTTATATTACAGAAACCAGCAAGCACCACAAATCAGAGCCTCGTCCCCACTGCCCACCCCAAAACTGGGCCACCAGCACACCTTGGCCCAAGCCACCTTTCTCCCTGACTATATAGTTTCATCCCTTATGGAATCAGGGTCACAGGAAAACTGATTTATGAAATCAGTACATGTGCTCTTTTACCATATAAAGAGGTTTTATTTTCCAGTAAGACACCCACCCCCACCCTGTCAGTATCCTTGTGCTCAACTTTCCTGCATCCCTGGCAGCCACGAGAACTAACCTGAAGCCCGAAGCAGCCCACAGACTGAGCGATGGAAGGTGAGGGAGTCCCTGGACCCCCTCTGCCACCCCAGGGACTCCAAGCACACACTCAGCCCCTCCCTCTGCAAGCCCTCATCTCTGGGACTCTGATCGGAAACTCATTAGAAAAAAACTACATACACGAAAGGAGAAAGAACGACTACCCCTGCCGTACAACCTCGTGTCTCAATGTTAAGAACCCAGGGGCAGGAACTGCCGATTCTTAGAAGATGATTCTCCAAGGGTCGCTCACGTTCCTGCACATCCCATGAGCTGGACCGCCTTACTTCCAGACGGTCTAGCATGCTGGCGTGGTGAACAGTCTCGGGCTGCAGACAAAGAGCCTCTCTCTGGAGCAACACTCAGGCGGGCTTACCCGTCATTGTAAGACGGAGGTTCCCGGGTACCTGGGTGGCTCAGTTGGTTAAACCACTGCCTCTGGCTCAGGTCGAGATCCCGGACTCCCGGGATGTAGTCCGGCACCAGGCTCCCAGCTCTGCGGGGAGTCTGCTTCTCCCTCTGACCTTCTTCCCTCTCATCTCTCTTTCACTCTCTCTCTCTCAAATAAATAAAATCTTAAAAATTAAAAAAAAAAAAGATGGAGGTTCCCTAAGTAGGGGTGACCTCTTGCAGCTGCCTTGGCAGGTACCATCTGGCCCTCTTCCTGGGGCCTTGGAGGGAAGACAGGTCAGGGAGTCAGTGTAAATGCTGATTAAAACCACAAATGCTATAAAATCTTTAAAAAAAAAAAAAAAAGGGCGCCTATGTGGCTCAGTTGGTTAAGCGACTGCCTTCGACTCAGGCCATGATCCTGGAATCCCGGGATCGAGTCCCACATCAGGCTCCCTGCTGAGCAGGGAGTCTGCTTTTCCTGCTGACCTCTCTCCTCATGCTCTCTCTCATTAATTAATAAATAAATAAGATCTTTTAAAAAAGCCAAAAACCCACAAATGCTGATAAAATGCTGATGAAATTCTCCTGGCCGGTGCTGCATTCACCTGTCCTTTGTCTCTGACCTAGGAGTCCACCATCCACAAAACCACAGCATGCTAATTTATTAGCTGGCGGGGAGGGTAAAATCTGGGACCTTTCATAGTTTTGACTCCCATGTGTTCCCTTAAGGATCCAGAGCTCTAAAAGAAGACCAAATCCAGTTAGCAAAAAATACTGTCTGCTTACTTCCACACACACACACACACACACACACACACACACACACACGAAAACCCAATAAGCATCATCATGTTGGAAAGCATTTTAATCGTCTACAAATTGATGCAGTTTATTGGCATGATATTTTGAGTAATTTTATAGTAACAGTACAATTCTGAGTAATTTTGTAGTAACAATATTTGGAAGAATTTTACAGGAACAGTATGATTTTGAATAATTTGTATAGGAAAAGAAGAGATACAGAGGAAAACAAATTTCCCTGCATGGTGAACTTTTCACACACTATACGGAAATTTCCCACATCTATCCAGTTCCGACTCAGAACGATAGCTAATATATTTTACTTATTGTATTCTATTCCTTTTAAGATTGACTTCAAATGACCGGAAACGAGAACTGACTCCTGGCATGTAGGAGACTGCAAAGAACTCGGGTTTCCTGGCAGACAGAGTTGGAACAAGAGCATCCCGCAACAAGGCTGGTGTGGGGTCAAGTCCTGCACACGGGGTTGGTGGTCTCACCTTTGGACTTGGCCGAAAGAGGCTCTCACTTGAGCACCGATCACGGAGAAGTGGGAAGTTCTGTTGCCGTGTCTGGGCAATGACCCAGACAGGATGTAATGCCCTTCCACGGTGGGAGGTGAACGTGTCACTCTTTCCCCAGCGGCAGGGGGGAGAACATCAGAGAGAGAGAAGGGCAGGCCAAACCGGGGGTGGGGAGGGTGGGAACTGTGGGCCAACTGAGGTGGGAACAGAAGGCTGGAGGCTGGCCTTGGGGTCTGCCATCAGACCTTAATTCTCCTTGTTTATCTAAAGTCCGAGAGCTATCTAGGGAACTCAGGAAGGGCTATCCGCTTTACCTTTTAAAATAAACAAATTCATCCTGGTCTACGGGGTTCTTGTGTATCCTTCCTAGGAGCCTATAAATACAACCCCATTACAATTCTGTTAGGCTAACAGCTTCTAGAATGCCTAAAATACCACGCAGGTGAACTTCTCCTCGTGGCTTTAGCCCCACAGCCCGAGAAACAGAACAGGCGTGAGATTACTACAGCTCACCACTCTAATTTCTCGGGCTTCTGGAAATTCTCTTATTGTTTTTTCCTCAAACAGTAGAAAACACCATGTGTGCTGATCTCTGAATCACTTTCACCAAGGCCACTTAAAAGGTATCATTTAAAAAATTAATCACAGATATTTAAAAAAACTATTTAGTTACCCAATTTGCAAACAAAGCGCTACTTCTGACAGCTGCACTCAGGCAATTTTCTGCACTTTTGCTGGATTTGCACGTGAAGCCAAGGTGTGACAGCAAGGCCAGAAACGTTCCTAGGTTGGCAGAGCCAAGTGACGACGGCCCCCCAGCCTTGCCAGAGCCGAGCTGGCAACTCTGGGAAGAGAGGGGTTCAGCCTCAGGGTTCACTCCCCCAGGCCCATGCATCCACGGGCTTCTGGAGGCTTGGCCTGTGCCACGGAATCAATGAAAGCCCGCGGCCTGGGCTGAAGTGACATCGGGCCATCTAACGGACTGAATAGCAGGAGACAACGCATGGGGCCAATTCTGTGCGTCTTAGAGCAGCTGCTACCAAACGAATGAAAATGCAGCTTCAAGCTGGGATCCCGGCGCGCTGACAAGCCTGCGAGTCCCACGTGCCTTGGGCTCCACCGCCCGCCCTCTGTGGCCCCCGCTGCCCTGGGGGTGAGGTGAGGTGGCGAAGGGCAGACGCCGGCGGGTAGTCCCAGGCTGCCGCAGCACTGAGTTGGCCCCTGCGCTCCAGCAGGCCCTCCCCAAGGGCTGAGAGGGCAAATGCCAGCCGGCTTTTTAAATTTTTTTTACACCACCTTTTCACTGAAATACTGGGAATAGGGACGTCTGGGCTCAGGAGTGTGTGACACGCAGGGCCAACTGTGCTTCCTGAGTGCACAGGTGGCCTTGAACTCTTGCGTGGCCCTCCCACTCCCTAGGGCACCAGCCCGATGAACTGCATCCGGCATAACCCCCCACAGTCGAGCTGACCCACTGCCAGCCAGCCTTTAGTTGAGATGCCCGTGCCCTGAGCAGCCGGTATCTGGCCCACGTGGACGCAGAGACTTGGCAAGCCCCAGCGGAGGCGTGTGAGGTGAGTGCCACGGCCGAGTGCCTCCTTAGCTGCGGTTTGGTGAAGCTCTTATCTGTGAGGTATTTTGTGTGTGTGGAAGACTGAGAGTGGGGTGGGGAGGAGAGACGATTAAAAACAAGGAGAAACACCAGACAAGAGCAGGGTACCTTATACGGGTCTCGTCCCACGTCACGCCTGTGCCAAGAACTGGGTGAGGGAGAGATGTGCGAGGTGAACACACTCATCTATCCTGAGGCACCCCCTTCCTGGGCTGCTCAGAGAGCTCTCCCACACACTAACTCTCCCCATGGGGAAGGGCGGGGGGGGGGCTAGCTCTCAGCAGGGGGGCAGGACGGCCCAAACCCCATGTCCCCACGTTGGGGGGATCCTGAGACCTGCCCTTGTGGAAGCGACTCAGGAGTCATGGACTCTCAAGAGCTCCAGAAAGAAACAGGGCCAGCAGCTGGGCAAAGGAGGCCTGGTGCCTGCACCAAGTCCTTGTCCCAAAGCACACTTGGCTAGAACAGGGCAAATCTCCATTGGGCTCCCAGCTGCCTTTAAGGGACTGAAGATCTGCAGGGCCGCACCAAACACGGTCAGTGTACCAGGAGGAAACCCTGCCTGGCTCGTTCATTTCAAACCTCGGCTCTGGTTTAGCCACCAAATCCTCCCCAAGATACAGGGCATGCGTGAGAGCTTCCCTCTTGCCATAATGCAATTAAGTGTGCAGCCAGCTGACAGGAGAACTGAGTCTCTGGGGTGGAAGGAAGTCTTAAATAATGCTCTGTGTGTGTGTATGCACGCGCGTGCGCGCACATGTGTCTGGGCACAGTCTTAAATCACGTTGTGTACGTGTACGTGGTGGGGTAGTGTCCGGGTGTGGGTGTTTTCCCTAGGGACAGGAAAAGGCTAAACGTATTGGCCACTGAGGTCTCTCTTCAGAGGATATTGTGAAACACGCTCAGGGTGACTCTTTCCTTCCGAGAGGGGCTGGACGGTGGGTGCTTCTGGTGGCACGGATGCGATCCCCTGTCACATGCCACACGTGGCTGGAGTGTCTTCCTGAGTAATGTGATGAGGGCGCGGTGGTGGCGAAAGGCACTTGGAAAATACACACGCCAGACAGGCAGGGCTCCGCTCCCTGGTTCGAGGAAAGGCACCAGTGGTGGCGTCTATGCAGAAACTTACCTGCCTAAGCCCCCTCCCCCCACCCCATCCCAGGGGCCGCTGGAAGTCACAGGCAGATGTCCTGCTCCACTGCGCTTCTCCTCTCCCACGGCAGGTCCGCGAGAGGCTCCAGCTAGAAGCGCGGCTGGTGAAGAGCTGCAGGCGCGGGGCTCTGCTCCAGCCTCTTGACATGGCAGGAGTGACAGAACAGGTGGTCCTCCAGCGGGTAGCAGCGGTGACCATCTTCGTCATTGAGCTCCAGACCGCAGTCCTGGGGGGAGGCAAAAAGGTCCAGCGGTGGCAGAACAGCACAGAAAGGATGGCAAGACTGACCCAAAGGCCGACGTCCCCGGGACCAGCAGAGCGGGCTGTGTGGGCAGCGCACGCCAGCGGGGAACCCAGCAGTCAGGCTGAGGGAAAGCGTGACATGCCCTCAACGTGCACTTGAACTGGGGCTGGTTGGAACGGAAGTGGGATGTCAGTGGATACATACTCTGTCCTTCCAAGACTTACGGCAAAAAAATGAATGTAAGACCACTCATGGGAAGTCCCTCATCCTGGTTACATATTGAAATAACACTGGAGGGGCGCCTGGGTGGCTCAGTCAGTTAAGCGGCTGCCTTCGGCTCAGGACATGATCTCAGGGTCCTGGGATGGAGCCCCATGTAGGGCTCCCTGCTCAACGGAGAGACTGCTTCTCCCTCCCCCTCTGCCCCTCTCCCCTGCTCATGCTCTGTCTCTCTCTCAAATAAGTAAAATGAGATAAAAATCTTAAAAGAGAGAGAGAAAGAAAGAAAAAGGAAGGAAGGAAGGAAGGAAGAAAAAAAGAAAGGGAAAGAACACTGGATATATGGGTTGGATAAAATACTGTAAGAATGAATCCTATTTCTTTTTACTCTTTTATTAATGTGACTACTAGAAAACAAAAGGACACCTGTGACTTGAACCCATGGCTCTTGGGTTTCTATGGGACAGCACTGCCCCAAATGCAGAGAGAGGGCTGTTGTGGGCAAATGGCCCCATCCCCTTTCTCTCCAGCGCCTAGGGTACCACCTAACTCTTCACAGCTGGCAGTGAGCTCAAGCATCCCACCCTCGCCCCAACCCCTCTCCCATTCACCCCACCACAGTGTCACAAAATAAATCTACTCTCCTTCCGTGGGAGAATCCACTTAATTGTGGCTGAAACCCCACGGGCACTTAAAGTGTACGTACCCTTCACAATGGCTGGGGAGGGGTGACCCCAGGCCCGCCTGACGGCCACGGGGCACCCAGGACTCCTTCAGCCTGGGCATGACACCAGGTAAAGAGGGGGCGCATGGGCCCCCTCCACCTTCACCCCACCCATGCCTGTTTCAAGGAGGGATGGATTTCTTCATGATTTCTGGGCTCAAAAGAGGGCTCTTGGCAGATAGAACAGCCTACAGGCTGGAGGGGATGGCGTCTGTTCCCCAGATCACACAGCTGCCTGACACCGTGGCATGGGAAACCCGTGCTCCCCACGAGCCTCCCACCCCGCAGCCTCAGGGAGGCAGTTAACCAGTGTGGAGGAAACAGTGACCACCTTTATGCCCCAGACATCTGCGTGTCCTCCAACCTCCCCTACAAGGCAGGCTTCACCCCTTGACCTAGAGAGCAGCCCTTGAACACGCCTTGCTGACCATCTCAGGCCCCAGTCACCCCAGGGATGTGCTCCTCTCATACTTTCGGGTGTCTGGGCAAGGGAGCGGCCTACCTCACAGTGGTAGCACTCCACATGGTAGTCTCTGTCCATGGACACGACGCGGATGGTCTCATCTGAGCCCTGGACGGAATGAAAGGAAGAACAAGAGGCCAGTTGGGGGACCCACTGGGCTCCTCATGTCACGGATGCGGGGAGTTTCTGAGCTAGCAAGTGGGTGACCTCAGAAAAGCTTAAATCCACTGTGAAGTCCCACAGCGGTTGGAAGGAGGACACCTTTAACTGATGAGAAGGGAAGTAAGATGGACAGCAGTCCTACCTTCTAGAATGTCAGAGTCAACACTGAAAAAAAACCTCTTCCATGGAGAGTGATTTTTTTTTTTAAAAAATGAATGAAAGGCAAACTTTCTGCTCATCTTCTCATCTGGAAGTTACTATCCAGTCAGGGAGTATGACCTGATTATAGGGCTGAATAGGCACACGAAGGGCTCTGGGCTGGGGAAGCCAGCCAAGAAGAGAGGGGCTTCTTGGTGAGGATATTATTAACGTTGGAGGTGAGATTTTAGAACGATTTTTTCAAAGGCACAAGGACAGGACACAGATCTCGTAGAAGACCCCAGGGAGATATTCATGCCATGGAAGACGCCAGGAACAGGTCTGAAAAAGCATCTTACCTCCGGTGGAAGGATGGGAAGCCCGCAGGCTGCACACTTGGGGGCCAGCACTCTGCCAGGAGAAGCAAAGAGGCAGTAAAATGAGTATGGTGCTGTTCCTGGGAGGCAAGCCCTGGAGCCCACACTGAGCCTTCCTCACAGCTGGCCTCCTGTCCATTTCTCAACTAAACCCCCAACCCAGCCCTCACATTAAGACAGCGAGGCTCGGAGCACTGGGGTGGCTCAGTCGGCGAACATCTGCCTGAGGCTCAGGTCATGGTCCCGGGGTCCTGGGATCAAGTCCTGCATCGGGCTCTCTGCTCAGCGGGGAGTCGGCTTCTCCCTCTGCCCCTCCCCCTGCTTATGCGCATGTTCTCTCTCTCTCTTTTTTTTTTTTTTTTTTAAAGATTTTTTTTATTTATTTGTCAAAAAGATCACAAGCAGGCAGAGAGGCAGGCAGAGAGAGAGGAGGAAGCAGGCTCCCCTAGAGAGCAGAGAGCCCGATGCGGGGCTCGATCCCAGGACTCTGAGATCATGACCTGAGCCGAAGGCAGCGGCTTAACCCACTGAGCCACCCAGGCGCCCCTGTTCTCTCTCTTTCTCTCTCTCTCTCTCTCAAATAAATAAAATCTTTATTTAAAAAAAAAACAGTCTGGCTCATTCTCTGGGAGGTGTTTTAGTAGCACTTTGAGATTATCGCCCAGTGGTAACAAGCCTGGCTGAACCCTCTCACTCTACTAGGGATGGAGAATAACCTGTTCGCTCCCCTCGTTCACCCAGCACAGGCCCAGGCAGATGGAGGGTGGCGGCCGCCAGCCCTGTGTGTCTGCCTTAGGAACTTAGGTCAAGCCGGAGCCGCCAGGCTTGGCAGAGGCCTCCGAGGCCTAGCTGGGAATCTGATGATAGGGATCCAGAGTCTGATTTTCCAGGAAAAATGATTCTGTTACCAGTTCCTGCCTGCACGGGCATCCCCTGACCTCCCGAGGGCCCCGCTACACCCTTTGCCGGACTGTGGACTCAGGGTTCACGCAGAGCCTGCGGGTGAACCCCAGCGGGTGTCCCTCCCTTCACTCAGCGCGATCAACGTGGCCCGCACCCCGCCCCTCCTTACTTGTGGTAATCTCGAACGCAGTAGATCTTATTCTCGGAGTCCACGGTGAAGGGCACCCCGTCCAAACACTCGTTACAGATGACGCAGCGGAAGCAGCCAGGGTGGTAGGACTTCCCGAGGGCCTGCAGGATCTGGGGGCAGAAAGGAAGAAGCCGGGGCTCAGGGGCAGTTACGGGGACGAGTTGGACGGTGTGAAGGAGAGGAACACGCCAGGCCGAGGGACCCTCCGCATGGTCACACCGCGTGGCGCACGCTCATCCCCATTTCACTTGGACCGAGGTCAAGAGAGGACGCGGTGGGAATGGCAAATCTAGGTAAATGTGTCAAGAGGAGAGAGCCAAACGGGATCCCTCCCCTTGGACATCAGCCTCCCGTAAAGAATCTGGAAGGCTATCTGGTAGTTCCTTGCAGGAAATGGTGTGAAGCAGGCAGGGCGGCACCAGGCTCCGTCCCAGCTTTAGGAAGTGTCTGGTCCATGGAAGGATTAAAGTTAATTCCACGTGGAAACGGCAGAGCTCAGAAAACCTCTTAAGTTCTGCCTCTCAGGTGCCTCCTCCTAAGCAGCTTTCTCTCCGCAGCTCAGCTTGATAATCCAGACACTGTGATTCAAACAATGATTATTTCAAATCCAAGCATTAGCAAAGCTTCTTTGTTACTGTTATCGTTTTTTGGGTTTTTTTTTTTTTAAGATTTATTTATTTGAGAGAAAGCGACCCCATGCACACACACAGGGGGAGGGACAGAGCGAGAACATCCCCAGGCGGACTCCCTGAGCCCCTGTCCGATGTAGGGCTCGATCCCAGGACCCCAAGATCACGACCTGAGCAGAAATCAGGGGACAGACACTTGACCAGCTGAGTCATGCAGGCACCCTGTTGCTGTTGTTTTTACACACAAAGTGGAGAAGTCCCACAAACCTTCTTCCTCTTAGTGTCAGGTTGTGATGCCTGGAGAGGTAAGAAGCTGTCCTGGAACCCAAGACATGCAGGGTAGGGGAGAGAAGATACGCGAGAAACATCTTTGGTGACGACAGCGAGTGACCAAATACCTCCCTGCAGAACGGAACTGCCTACCTCCAACCCGCTTGCTACATGACGTCACACTGGTTTCCTATTAAATCAGTGCCTCTCAAAGTGTGGTCCCCAGACCTGCAGGATCAGCATCACCTGGGAGCTTGTTTAAAAATGTGCATTCTCAGGCCCCGTCCCAGATCTCCAGAATCTCCTAGGGTCAAGGCCAGTGGTTGGTGTCTTCAAAAAATGATTCCAGGGCATGCTAAAATTGCAGAACCACCAGTCTGAGTTTGTGCCAGTGCATGGGACACCTGCAGGAAAGGTGTGGGCCTGCCAGCGCCCGAGGCCTGCTTCCCCTCGAGGCCTGCTTCCCCCCAAGGCCAATGCCACACCTCACACGCGGCAGCCACCAAGGCAAGCTGGCGGCTTCATGTGCTCTCCCAGCTTCCTCTGAGGACTCAGCTCTCCAGCTTCCCCGCTCCCTCGGGTGCGTCACTAACCTGTGAGGCCCCTCTCACTCTTCAGTTAGCTGCCAAAATGGGGCAAACAACCTGCTGGGCTTCCAAAGTCCACATGGCAATGTGGACCTCGGAATGCATTTTGCTCCCCAGCAAACACCATGTTGGCAGAAGAGACCCTGAAATGAACTTCACCCACAGTGTGCCTACGGCATGGCAGGACACCGAGGCTATTTTGCCACACGCCAACTCGCTGCGATAATTCTTTTTCATGTGGGGAAAATGCCCAGTTTCAACCTGCGTGCTCAGAACATTCCCCTGTACTAACCGGGGAGGCGGGGGGAACACAGCTAATTTGTACAAAGAACTGGACAGCTGCTTGCTTTTCTTGGAGAACCAAGAACGGTGCCTGCGGGAAATCTTTTCCTGCATTATAAAAATTCTTAGCAGCAGTTAAGGGTTCTAAAGGGTGTCACTACCAGACAGATGCTTGCTCAAAGTTTTCCAGTCCTAGAGGAGACCCGCAAGGACCCAGGTTCAACTCAGTGGGCTATCCTCGTGGGCTAGAGATGGTCTCCAAAGCTTCATTCCTTCCCTTCCCGCATGCGAGGCTGGTCCTCACTTCAAGAAGTGGAGGACAGTCACCCCCTCACCGCCCTGCTGCGTACTGAGAGCGGCCTTGTGATCTTCTGTGATCGACAGAATGAGGACGAAATGATGTGGGGAGATTCTCGAGGCAAGGACTTAAGGAGTCTGGCAGCCTCCCTCCCTCTTTTGCTGTAGGAAGTTCAAGGTAGAAGACTGAATGGGATCACTGGTCACAGGGAGAAAGGCCTGGAAGGGAGAGGCCATCGTGGGCACTCAACTGGGACACTAGCCGAAAACCGCTGCATAAGAGACCCCAGACAGTGTCACACGGAACAAAAGAATCATCCCACTGACTCGTGACTGACAGAGTTCCACGAATCACCATAAAGAAGTCACTGCTGTTTTAAACGACTACATCTTGGGCGGTGATGTACCATGAAGCAGGAGGTAACTGAACTACCATGAGGCCCAAAGAAGGCTTAGGATACCTGGAAATAAAAATAGCGTATAATCGTGTTCAGACATTTGGACACTGTGGACTCGTATATAGTGGGTTTTGTCAGAAGGACTCTTAAATTGAGGACCAGTTCCGCCAAAGAATCGGATGCCTGTGGAGTCTGGCTGGTGTCTGCGGAAGGTAGGGGTGGGGGGTGTGGCTCCTGCCTGCCTTGCCTGGGGGGGATGGAGGGAGGCCTTGGTTGCCAGGGAGAACTCCGCCCTCCCGGGGCTAAGCTCCACCCCGGTGTATCCGGGACTGGACAACAGCGGGTTCTCCAAATGAACAGGGTGGGCTCCGATTCGGGGCTGTTTCACACACGTTAGCAAGAAACCAGCGGAAATGAGTGTTGATGTCCAGCAACGACACTCATAGCAGCTTTATTCCTAGATAGCCTCAAACTGGCAATCGCCCAAATCCCCAGCAGCAGACCAGCAGATACAGAAACTGCTCTCGCTGTCCAGCCGAAGTCTACCCAGCAATGAAAATAAACGAACTACGGACACCGGCCACAACATGGATGAACTTCAAGAACGCTTGCTAGGGGCGCCTGGGTGGCTCAGTTTGTTAAGCATCTGACTCTCGACTTTGGCTCAGGTCATGACCTCAGGGTCGTGAGTTCGATCCCCACACGGGGTTCCACATTGGGCACGGAGCCTGCTTAAGATTCTCTCTCCCTCTCCGGCTGCCCCTGCCCCCATCCCCCCCCAAAAAAACTACAAAGGGGTGCCTGGGTGGCTCAGTCAGTTAAGCATCTGCCTGCAGCTCAGGTCATGATCTCAGGGTCCTCGGATCGAGCCCCATATTAGGCTCCCTGCTTCTCCGTCTCCCTCTGTTGCTCCCCCGCTTGCTTGCTCTCTCTCTTTCTCTGCCAAATAAATACACAAAATATTTAAACAACAACAACAACATTTTTTTTTTAAGATTGTATTTATTTATTTGACAGACAGAGATCACAAGCAGGCAGAGAGGCAGGCAGAGAGAGAGAGGAAGGGAAGCAGACTCCCTGCTGAGCAGAGAGCCCGATGCGGGGCTCGATCCCAGGACCCCAGGATCATGACCTGAGCCGAAGGCAGAGGCTTAACCCACTGAGCCACCCAGGCGCCCCAACAACAACATTTTCTAAGTGAGAAAAGACAGACTCAAAGGACTCTGTGCTATATCATTCCATTTATATGCAGTTCCAGGACCAGCAAAACCAATAGGGGCAATAGAGCTCAGAATAGAGGGTACCTTTGGAGGAGGGGTTCTGGACGGGGAGGAAGACAAGAAGGAAGTTTCTGGGGTGTGGCATATGGGAAATACCCACACTTTGACCTGGGTGGGGTTACATATGTGCATATGCAAAACTTCATTCACTTGTACACTTAAGATGTACATCCTTTACTCTAGGAGTTGTTTCTCAATAAAAAAGGTGAAAGAAAAAAAAATAGCAATGATTAACAATTCCCTTCTTCAGAATGGAATTAATGGGTCAGCTTAGAGAGGGATTTTACCTCTTTCCAACTAAAAGAATACTGTACAATAATTTTCCTTGACTAGTTTATTGAAGAAACTCTTGAGGCCTGATCTCCAATGGTAAACAGTTTGATCCCTGAGACAGACCAAGTATTCAGCATTTTTTAACCTCACAACCTTACCCTATAAGGAGGCCAGGAAAGAAACACTGTCCCCACTGAAGAGATAAAAATACTGATGCCCAAGACAAGCTCAGAGGGCCAGTGGCGGAGTGAGGAATAGGATGTATAAAACTTGCTCCTTGTTCGGCTGTCTCAGAACTAACGACGGGCCCGCGTCTTAGGAACAGATCATCTTAGGAACAGATGGAGTCAGGCAGAACACGGGGCACCAACAACTCTGTTTATCTGACTTTTTGTACCAAACTCCAAGGGTGATGAAGTTTGGGATTTGGCATCTCACCTGGGACACCATGGGGATCACAGAAAATCAGAGGGAGGCTGGTGTGATCCAACCCCCCCCCAGAGAAACAAGCATCATCAGAAATACAACACGGTGTAAACTACATGATTAAGGATGTTAACACCAGTAAAAGCCAACAATATGGTTTCTTGTAGAGCAAGCAGCAGCCTTACGCAGGTCTTCTCTTAATAAAACCAGACGCAACCACAAATCAAGTTGGGAAACACAGTTTTCAACAGTGAGTTTCTATTTCTGTGACTGCCTCCCCCTCCTGCCATGCCGTCATCCTGTTCCGATGACCCTACTCACCATGTCCATGATCAGATGCCCACAAAGAAAACACCTGTCAGCAGACTGCTGGAACCCAGAGTACTACAGAGGAAAAAGAAAAGACAGTTAAAGGCAGGCAGGACAGATGACCCAGCCACTTGCCCACCAGTCACAAGGATGACAAGGAACTTATCAGAAAGAAGTGTCACTCTACACAGGAATCTGTCGTTTCCTAGAGGACAACGCAGTTGTGTGATGAATCATGGAACAGCTTCTGCCACGAAGCCATGACACATACCGACACCCCCCACCCTAACAAGAGCCGCTTCTGGGCACCAACAACATGCCGGGCTCTGTGTAAGAGGCTGTGCATAGAGAGGCTTTAGGCGATAAGCCACTGGTTCTCAAAGAGGAGTTCACTGACATCACCTGGGAACTTGTAGGAAATGCAAATTCTTGGGGCGCCTGGGTGGCTCAGTGGGTTAAGCCTCTGCCCTCGGCTCAGGTCATGATCCCAAGGTCCTGGGATCGAGCCCCACATCTGGCTCTCAGCTCGGCAGGGAGCCTGCTTTCCCCTCTCTCTCTCTTTGCCTGCCTCTCTGCCTACTTGTGATCTCTGTCTGCCAAATAAACAAATAAATAAAATCTTAAAAAAAAAAAAAAGAAAGAAATGCAAATTCTCGGGCTCCACCCAAAACTGAACCCCAGTCCGGAGGTTTAAGAGAGCAGTGGGGTAGGCAAAATGGGCAGAACACAAGAGGACAGGCCAAGTGACCCTCAAGTCCCTTCCAAGCACGTAGTTCTGTGGCTTGTCATTTGCTTCGGGAACAAGGGCCACCCGGGGCATCTACAGAGGGAAAGTCAGGACCCCCTTCTCTGGCTGCGCTCAACTCCCTGCCGGCACCGGGGATCGCAGAGAGAAACCACCCTCTTCTGCCTGGCCCCTGCCCCTGATTCTGGTCAGGACTTCGAGCAGGGGAGGTTAGGGTAACAAACTCACCAGGAAGTCTTCCTCACAAAACACTTTGCCATTGACAAAATAAAAGGCTTTTCCTCTCAGCTTCCGGCCTAAGGAAGAAACACAAAGGCAGAATGAAAAGAAGATGATGTGTGTGGTGAAAAAAGGAGAAAAGAAAGGCAAAGTGTGTTTAAACAGAAACAAACATGCACAAGATGCCAACTGTCTAGGGTGTGTGGTTACAGAAAGCCGCTGGCCGCCCCTGGCGATGGGCAGGTGGAGGCAGGACGGCCGGGCCCCTGGCGGGTGTGTGTGGCCGGGGACACCAGCGCTGCCTTGGGAATCATCCTACGCCCCCTTCTCCCGCTTCCTCTCCGCTGAGAAAGAGCCCGCTGAGACATCTGGTGGGGGGACGGCAGAGGCACACTGGGGGGGGGGGGGGGGTGGGTACAGGGCAACAGTTTGATGTGAGCTGTTTCCCACAGGTGTTTGGGATGTTACCTTTGACATGTGCTCCAGGGGACACTGGTGACAGCCTATCAGGAAAGTCCTAGAAATTGGTCAACTTTATTTTCTTTATTTTCATGTCTCTTTCCATCTCAACTATACAGAAAATACATATTGTTGGACAGATAATGATTTTTCTTGTTTTCCCCTGATCTAAACGGGGTGAGGAAGGGTGGGAAAAATTCAAAGCACCCCGGCTGCTTAGGTGTAACTTTAGTTTCCATAAAGCTAGGACACCGGCAAGACTAGCACACTTTACCAATGCCCTTGATCCCTAATGAAAAAATACAGAAGGTCACATGTCCAAGGTTAAGCAGGAGCATCTTTGTAGGAGACCCCGGGTCCGTGACTCCGAGGCATTCCCAGATCTGAGAACACTTCCAGCACCAGGTACACCACGCGTGCAACAGACTGTGCAAGTTTCCAAAACTGAAGGCATTCTAAACTCTAGCAGAATCACGCCCCTTGGAGCCGGGATCCACAACATGAAACCAAGCTCACCAAATGTCGCAAACGCTAATGGGGCTCCAGGCAGAGAAACCACCTTGATTAAAGCACCAAGCACCCTCGCCTGGGACCCCCAGAGCCGGCCAAGAGCACAAGGCGACAGAGAAAAGCCTGGTGACACAGACCTGCTGGGGCTTAGAGAGGGCCTGGAAAGTTATCAGTCAGTGCAGAGGAAAAGCCACAAAAAAAGAAGTGTAACTACAAAAACAAAAAGCTCCAGAGAGATGAAAGACCTTGAGTGTGAAAAACAAAAGTTTTCATGAGAAAATGTGAGCAACTGTCTTTGACTGGGGCGTGGCATGGGATTTCTCCAGTGAGATACAAAAGGCACACCTTATGAAGGTGAAGGCTGATCCACGGGACATCAAAAATCCAAACTCTGTTCAACATAAAACAACATATACAAAGTTCAAAAAATAAAACTGTTGAAAAGCCAAAGGGGTTCTGAGCGGGGAGGGAGAAGGAGCGGGTCGGAGGATGGCAAGTGGAGGTCGTGTGGCGAGAACAAGGAGAAAGGGAAGACAGAAAGAAGCCTGGAAGGACGAAGACTCTGGGGCTGACCCTCCACACTCCTGCCCCTGCAGCCCCCTCCCCAGGAAGGCCCTGCCCTTCTCGGTGTCCCGCTTGTTGCTGGGAGACCCACTGCTATCTTGGTGTCTCCCCAGCCCTCTGATCGGTTCCTATAGAACTTTCTAATATTCTGAATATACGCGACACTCCTTGAGGACAGAACGTAACTTCGACTCGGTCTCATAAGAAGATGGCTTGCCAGTGGTCTGACTGCAGGCAATAAAGGGTAAGTTGGAGAAATAAAAAGGCAGGCAGGCCAGGGGCCAGAAGATGCTACAATGCATGTACCAAGGCAGTAGTCGTCAAAAACATAAAGAACACCAAGCACCCATCCGACCACGATAACCCGACGGAAAAACCGAGCGAAGGATAAGAAGTGAAAATGCAAAGAGAAAATCTGTTAAACTCTAGGCAGTAACCATTTTACAAGATGTTCAATCCTACCAGCAATCAGGATACGCAAATTAAAACCACAAGGAGATGCTGTCTCAGTGCCAGATGGACTAAAATCACTAAGCCTGGCAGTACCATGTCATGGTGAAGGTGTGGGACAAGAGGAAACCTTTCCCGATCAGCACGATGGGAGTGGGAGTGTCGGTCAGCACGAGCACCCTGGGAAGAATTCGGCAAGAGCCCAGAGAGCGGAAAACCCACATGACCCAGCACGTACCCCTAGGGGTGCCCTTTGAGAAGATCTCCCAATGTGCAGAAGGAGAAGCACGTAGGGCTTCACTGCAGCATTGCAAAGATAACCTGGATACCCAGCAGCATCTTCAATGTTCATCCAAGTAGAAAAATTGAGAAATACATTGAGGGAGAATTTGGAGTTATAGTCAATGAATGAGATACCACACAGCAGTCAAAATGCATGAACTAGATTTGTATATATCATTAGGAACTGAACTGAACACACTGCTGTGCAAATAGGGAAAATTGCTCAATGATATATGTTATAGGATAGTGTGTGTATTTATATACACACATTAATATATATATATACACACATTAAATATATATATATACACACACACATTAAATCATGAACAAACACATATGCACACACAAACTAGTGCTGCATATTTTTTATGATACTTGTCTATGCGATAACAGAAGAAAAACTGGGGCTGGAAGGATCCATACACTGAATTCATGACAGTCCCTGTCCTGGGGAAGGGGGAAATGGCATGTGGGAAGGGGAACCAGGACAATTCCAATTTATCTGTAATATTCTACTTCCTTTATCAGAAATAAGTCCAAAGGAGAACATATAAATGTCCATGCATTCTGGGTGGCAGGCAAACAAAGGTTATTTCCTACTGTGCTTTCCTGTAGTTTTTGAAACTATACACAAACACACACACCCACACCTTCTTTAGGAGAAATACTATAAGCCAAAGGCAAATGACAAACCAGAGAAAACATCACACTGTAGGACAAAAACAACTTAATTTGTCCTCATATGCAAGTAATTCAATTAACAGTCCATATAGAAAAATAAGCGAAGAGGGGCACCTGGGTGGCTCCGTCAGTTAAGTGTCTGCCTTTGGCTCAGGTCATGATCCCCAGGGTCCTGGGATTGAGCCCCCCCCCCCATCGAGCCCCATGTCCTGCTCCCTGCTCAGTGGGGAATCTGTTCCTCTCCCTCGGCCCCTCCCTCCCCCTGCTCATATTAGTAATCGCATTGAAGACACTCCTCACTCTGTGAGGAGAGCAGAAATTGGGTAAGCTTATGAGAGAGAATGTGGCATCAAATATCAATAGGATTTAGAAAGTTCGGGTTATTTTGACTGAAAAATTCCACTGCAGGAATTTATCCTAAGGAAATAATCAGAGTTGGATTGTGTAAAGGATCTTCACCTCAACATTATTTAAAACAGCTGAGGGGTGCCTGGATGGCTCAATTGGTTAAGCATCAGACTCTTGAATTTGGCTCATGAATTCAGGTCATGATCTCAGGGTCGTGAGATCGAGCCCCACGTGGGACTCCACACTCAATGGGGAGTCTGCTTGAGATTCTCCCTCTCCCTCTGTCCCTCCCTCTGTCACTCTCTCCCTAAATAAAACCTTCAAAAAACATTTAAAACATTAAAAAATAAGATAACTTTAAAAATGAGCATTAAGGGGCGCCTGGGTGGCTCAGGGGGTTGAGCCTCTGCCTTTGGCTCAGGTCATGATCCCAGGGTCCTGGAATCAAGTCCCGCATCCGGCTCTCTGCTTGGCGGGGAGCCTGCTTCCTTCTCTCTCTCTGTCTGCCTCTCTGCCTACTTGTGATTTCTGTCTGTCAAATAAATAAATAATCTTTAAAAAAAAAAAGAGCATTAAGCAAATATGTAATTCCTATTAAATAAATGATAGCATTTATACTATTTTGCAGCCATAAAAAAAAGCGGGTTTTCAAAAAAAGACTTGATGACACAGAGAGATATTTAAAATACTTCAGAAGGTGGTATGAAAGCATATTTGTGTATGAGTACAGATATGGAAACACGTGTTCACACACCTGTATGTTCACAAAATTATGTGTATGTTCATACACACAAAATGCATACAAAATGTTAATAGTCATTATCTCTGAGTATAGAAAATGGGTGGTTTTTATTTTTTCCTTAAATGACTATATATTATATATATAAATATATATATATAAAGTCATTTCCTGCAACAACTATATATTATTTTCATAACCTGAAACAAATTAAAATAGGATGAGGGAGTGTGGAAAGAACAATGGGACATGTTAGAAGTCTACAATGCAAGCCTGTAGCTCTCCAAACCTTCTCTTCTGTCCTTCCTCAAAGTTAGTTACATTCACTTCTGGAAGGTTCTAGAACCTTCACAAGCATTTCCTGACTGCGAAACTAGGGTGACAAGAAGGGGCACTTATAACTAAATGATTTCAAGGTTCACTGACAGAACCCCCCTTTACAGCCATAGAAAGTTCATTTATAATGATCTCACTTTCCCCTCTATAAAAAAAAAATTCCAGCAAACTTAAAGTTGTACACAGGAAAATGAGAACTAAATAGAGTAGGCTCTCCCATATTTTTGTTCCAATCAGGCACCTGGGTGAGAGCCTCCAGTCCCTCCCCAGGCAGCCACGGTGACAGGAAGGACGCAAATAGTCCACCACGAGGGAAAACAATGCCCAACACTGTCCGACCACAAGGAAAACCAAAGTCCAGCCTGGGAGTGGGGTGGGCTTGTTTTGCTGCCCCCAGGTTCCGAGAGGAAAGGAGGCGAGGCTGCAGATCCCATAGTGGCCACTGGAGAGAGCGAGGGGGCCGTCTGGAAATGGCATAGGTCTTCCTAGACAGAGATGTGGCTTCTGATCCAATGCAGAGAATATGGAGCTCTGGTTCCAAGAACGGAGTCCAGGAAGTTCAAGGAATCTGAGCTGGGAATTACTTTCTGTTTTAATAGAGGGCATGTCACCTCTGTTCCAGAAATCATAGAGAAGGGTTATTAAACCCGCTGAGGGCCAAGCGCTCTAGCGCCCTAAGAAAGACAAACAAGAGCTTTTTCACTT